TAATTCATAAATTATTTCTATGTACCTATACATAATTTGAAGACTATGACACAACATATTTGAAAAAAACATAGATTTTGGCTATTTTTATTGTTTTATATCTACTTAAAATAGTTAAAATAGTAAGTTATAAGTTATAACTTGGGCGTGGATTTTAAAGTAATGAAAATATAAACTACCCTGTAAGTTTTTACTCTGTTATTTTTTCTAGAATATGTGTTATAAACATGAAATATTTAACAAACAAATGTTTTGTATAATAATATTATTTTAATTAAGTAGATAAGAAAGAAAACTACTGAATATTAACACGAATAAATGAACTAGAACAACTAATTACTTTAATTAGTATACTAGACCGTATAACCGATATGGCTATATCAAAAATCTTTATCTAGTCCATCTTATATATAACAGCATTATAATATTTCCACAGAATATTTATTATTGTCAATGTATCGGTAAATACTAAATAAATTAATATAAAAATATTTACGAAGTAACACGTGCTTATATTGGTAAAATATTTTAAAATATGCATTTATTTCAAACTATTTGAAAAATATGAAAACGTATCCACGTTATAATTTATATTATAATATAACATTGTTATAATGGTATTATTATGTTATGACTTTTTAATCAGAATTAAATAGTATGCATTCAATAAAAAAAAAAAAAAAATGATTATAATAATATGTTGACATAAAAATACGTCGAACTAATTAACTACATACAGATAATTAAACAGACTTTCATACGTTAACTTCACAATAAAAATATCCTGATTTGAAATATGAAATATAATATATATCTTAAAATCTTGTAACATTTAAACGGCAAAAATAGTAACAAAAATAATTATTTCTCTCAAATGTTATGTTACCTATGATTATATAGTAAAAAATATTTTTCAACATCGAGTGAGTTTAATATTATAAAACAATTATCCAGCATAAATATATATTTTTTTATATATAACATTATTATATTATTGCTGTCGGTGGTAAGCGATGACTGAAGGCTGCAGTGACAGTTTATTTTTTAAAGTATGTATAATAATATAATATTTATAACATACATCTGTGTGTCCATGCGCAATGCGTGTATATATACTGTTTTATTGATCAATAACGTCACGACACGTCTGGAGTTAATTAAGAAACCCGTTTCAAACCAATAATAAACGATTTAATTATTTTCAATATCATAATTTTTGTTTAAATATGTCACATATTATTTGGAAAATAGTTAATTAGAAAATAAAAGTTACTTAACTTAGTTAAAAATAAGTTACTTTTTTATTTTTTAAATAAAATTTATAATTAAAATAAAAATTATAAAATAAAAATAAATCAGAGTCCCGGGTATTTATTTAATTAGGTCAATAGTAAACACGATGAACTACCCCTGTACTACGGGTATTATTTACACCAACGGGCCAAGTTATCGCTGTAATTCTGAGTGAATAAAAATATACTAATAAGTAATAATATTAATAATGATTAGGTTATATATCGTGTATGGGATAGATACTGAGTAAATTGTTATGTTTTTTTTTTTATTAATGACGCGGTTACCCCTATAACATTTCCATCTATTGTCAATCGATTGTCTCGTCTCTCGATCGACGCAGAACCATAATAGTAACATAATATATTTTCCGGATTAGGATCTTCATGAAAAATATGTTATGTATGGATATTGAAAATATTGAATTTATGAAATAAGAAAATATTGTGGATACAGATGTGATTAATAAATTGTCAATACAATGTCTTTCAAAAAAATCTTTACATTGCTTAATTTTATTCACCAATGTCTACTCATTATTTTGTATATAAGAAATTGTACGATCTATATGTATTAATATTTATTACCTACTACCTTAGTATAGATTTTAATTGTTAATAAAATGTATACAATACCTTCATAGATTAAATTTAAATATATAGTCGATACACATTTTTTCTTTGGACAAAAATGCTTTGCTTTTGAACTCAACAAAATAACTCGCACCAACACAAAAATGCCACCTTGTATCCACCATCGATAGATAACTATGTAAATTTATGGTATCTTTGTCTAGACAAGAATTAGGCAAGCATTTTTTTTTTTAATATAAATATTTTATCATATAATATTATGAAAGATATTTATGAGGTGTCGTTGTTTTAATGCTTATATGTTGCTTATTAAGAAATACAAAATTAGAATAGAAACAAACTACTATAATACTGTTAATAAATCTTGATAGGTTTATAACTATGAAGAATTCCATTATACCTACAAAGGGTATAATTTTATTTTCTCAGTCCTATTATACTATAGTAATTTATTATTAATAGACATGTATTTTTTAATTTAATATATTTATTTGTATCTATCATAGCTAGTTCACCATGACTCATTAAAAAACGTCAAAAACAAAAATTAACATTATCATCCAAATATAACCAATAATAACGCGTGTCACGCATGGATAATATTTTTTTACTATTGTTAAGGTTAAACTTGTATTTTAAAGTCGTTTGATGCTTCAAATAAAAGCTTAAAAATGGGTTATGTTTGATTCGGGTGCAACATTTGCGTTGCTTGTTTCGCGTCCAAACGTATCATAAGGTAGTCAATTTACAGATTGGATTCGTTTGGACCAGATACTAATTATTAATATCGACCAATTATTTTAGTATAGGAATGTATTTTTTTAGTTATATTTTTTATCAAAGTTTTATACTACATTAAAAACATACAATGCAGTAAAACACTGACGCTGAATTATTTTAGTACTTTATTATAACAAATAATAAAGCCATGTACATAATATCTCGACCGTATCACATATTTTGAACGTTCCACTCAAATAACCATTTACAGCTATATTATTAATTAAAGTTTAGGTCAGAAGTTTCCATTATATATAACAACATTTTTTGAATTACCTACAACAAAGTAACTAAAATCATTATTTTTCGTTAAAATATTCACACCTTAAAATGCCTAAATAAAATAATTGTGCTTACCTATTTGATGTCATTAGAATGCGGTAAGATCAAATTATTAAGATAAAAAGTTCACAAAATATTTCGTCAAAATCATTAATATTTTGAAATTAATTAAATAATGACATCAGTAGTCTCAAAACAGCTGCAAAGTATTTTAAAATTATACCAGGAAATGCTAATATAAATCTTTATTGAGCGGTCAAAAGGTGTTAAGTCAAAAATTATGATTTTTCAGTAGGATTTATTAAAAGTTTGAATTTTTTCCTAAATCAGATTTTTATCACATAAACTTTGTTATACCCATTTCAAACTAATATATACTTTTAATTTTAAGTTTTGTTCTCAAAGTTATGAAAAAAATTGATCTGTTATACTTTTTGTGTACTTAACTCAAACTCACTTTTTAGAAAATTGACTTCTATCATTTTGACCAAAACTCCTTAGGATCATATTTAAACAAAAAAAATGTATGACTTAAGCTTATAATATCTATTTTAAATGACTTAACCCAAATTGATTTTAAAATTAAATTGATTATGTTTAAACTGAAATGATTTAAGTTGACTTAATCCAATAATATAAATTGATATAACTCTTTAAGATCTTAATAGAAATTAAAATTTGAAACATATCATTAATACATATCACATTCACAGCAACCAGATTATTTGGTGACTTAACTTATTTGTACCAAAAATCGAGATTTTTTTCAAATATAAAGGAATCAAAAAATGATTTTTAAAAAAACATGACTCAACTCCTTTTGACCGCGCATCAAAGAAATATTGAATTACCTACAATAATAATGTACAATATTAATTTTGTTAAAACTTGGTGTTGCTTAATTAGTATTCCCGTTTTACGTAAATTTTGTTCAGTTAATTCTGAATATTTCCGAATAAAGTGTGAGAAATTTAAACACATGCCCATAAGCGCAACTAGGCAGAGGGCTGTGGAGCATAGTCCCCCAAAACTTGTAATAAAAATATTATTCATTTGTTTTCTAAAATATATATCTGTATTTGTTTTAAGGAAACGATTTATGTCGGTTTATTGATATGGTTATTAAACATAATTTTAATAAATATGCTCTGAACTAAACTATAGACTATAGAGACAGTGAATTGAATAAAAATCCCCGAAAAAAAACTCCGGACGAAGAATCCCCGACCCTATAAAAAATAAGTAGATAAAATATGATAAATAAATAGCATAGTATATTATTGTGAAAAATGAAATTTGAGTAAATAAATACATTTTTTTTTATATTTATATGGGGGTGTGGGCATCGCACTTTTCATGTAATACTAGCGGGGGGCTACAGCCCCCCAACATTTTAGCCCTAGTTGCGACACTGTACATACCAACTGGAAACTACTAACTAAACAAAATTTGATAACAGACACCACCATCAAAGATACATTTATAATCGTTTGTTTCTTTAATATGTGATGTAAGAAACACACAAAAAAATCCTATAATTGAATAACTATTGCTACATTCAGAATCTATAAAATGCCCAATTTCATAACATTTACAAACTACTATAATTTTAAAATTTACTTGCTTAGTCGATTACAAAAAATGCTATGCAATGTATATTGTATACATAACTAAACCCAACTTAATGTTTTCAATGCAATTGAGTAATTATTAAGAATGGGAAACAAATACAAAATTACAAATGAAATGTCCAACTAATGAATGCTAGTTATTCGTAACATAAAGGAATAATATAATATTAGATAATCATAATCCCATACTGAAATACAGAAAAGATAATCAGTTGGGAATTTTATAATATCATAATAGTACCATAAATCATATTTTTCATTTTGCAAGTAAACTGTTTCATACCATATACAACTTTATGTACCTATTGCCGAAAAGTATAAAACAATCGACAGCATAACTATAGTATCGTAAAATGTATTAATCGACATAATTTTAGTAAACGTACCTAAATATATTTTTAACCGTTATTCTTTCATGCAGGTCTCGACTCGAAGCTTTCGAACAAACGTGTTCGGTGGACCAAACTACCAGCCGGTGTGCAGGACCTCCTTCCACGTGTCGCGAGTCCATTCTTGGCATACTGGGGACGATGTTAAGGACGAATTGCGCGTGCAAGGACACGACTCCTTCCAAGTTCTACGACTGCATGGGGTGGCAACGGGTGTTTTGGTTCAACTCGTGTGTGGGTACGTATATGCATTACACAGGTGTAATATAATAGCATACTCGTTGAGTAGGTATCAAAATAAATATGGGATATAATTTTAATTCCTTTTTGAATCAAACATGATACGGTAAGATTTTAAAAATAAGTTACAACATGATGAAAACGTGTTGTTCATTTTAATTTTTAAATGTTAATAATGTAATTATTTACATTTGTATACATATTGTGTAATTATCGAACACCTAATACTATTTCATGTGAGTAAATTATTTTTATTTACTATATACTATTTTTTATTAATAACATAATTCAATATTAAACAATTATTTCACTCGTTTATATTAATTCAAATCACACTTTGATGAGTTACAAGCTCAACAAAAATATTTATCATATTAATATACCGAATAAAACGAACCTATGACTACGGTGTAGCTAAATTGCCTATCTAGAACGCCGTGTGATCATATTTTCACAATTTAAATGTTCACAACAACTATTGCTGGTTCTGTAAAAAGCTTAATTTTAGTGTGCACTTTACTATGTAAATAATTTTTTTATATTATGTTTAAATGTAATTTTTATATTAATGTATTATATCAGTGTAACTAAAATACATCGAGTGACGTATCCAATCCGTGGTTAGTGGATATATAATCCGCTGTAGGCGTATTGCCCCCCCACCCCACCAGTTCCAATTTGTTCTGTCAAAAGCTAATTACACTTGAATCGAGTATTATTAAAATCAAGTGACACTTTGACCAAGACACAATTAAAAGAAAATTAACTGCGCCGTATCCAATACGCTACAAGTGAATGCCCACTCAGATCTGATTTACTCTGTTTTATAACTGCATATTGCTTGAAGCCTACCCATCAAGGTTATATTTTTAGTAGTATAACTTCATATAACTATACAATAAAACTCGGCTTTTGAATATTTTTCCATTAAAAAAGAAAAACCAGATATATCAGTATAGCTAAATTATCGGTATCATCATTACAAAACCAAATCAACCTTATAATAGTTTTAAGTGTAGACTGTAAATTATTAGCTTGTCGTATTCCTGACCAAGGTTTCTCCCGGTGAAACAAGTTTCAATTACCTCGATGTATTTAAGGAGGTAGAAGGCCGCAAGCAGATTGTTCACCCTGATCCAACATGCAGAACACGAGAGTAATATAATTGATCTTTATAATTCTCAAAATGATAGACACCTAAACTGATATCCACCTTTTATATACCAAATCCTCCATAATATGTCAATGCAGTAGCATACCTAGAATGCGTTTTTATTTGGCTCTTGAATCTTTATTCAAATGATTTTGTAATGACCGAAAATTGTAATTGTATTACTACTCGTTGCTATGAAACATGGTTTTAAACACCATTGATTTTATAATACATATTTTGTATAATATTATAAAACCATTGTAATTATATTATTGTGTAGCCATCATTTCATTATAAATATACTTAATTAGGTTCACTTATCTTTGAATTGTGACCAATATAATGGTTATATATCATAATCATTTTCGAAAATGCTTGGATCATCGATATGTCAATTTAGACAGAAAAGTCAATGCAATAACATTTTTAAATTCAAATATTTAAATCATAATTATAGTAATTAGAATTATTCAAATATAAATATAATAATAATGCAATAGTATAAGTCAATTATATATTGAAAAATATTATTTTCTCAAAAAAGGTTATCTATAATTGGTTGTGTGGTATATAAGAAATTTTATTTTTATAAATAGTTGTAATTAATTAAAAATATGATGTACCTAACTTTCATTTAAATATTACATTTATGAAATATCTTCTTTAGTAATAATATATAAAATCTGTAAATGTCATTGTTTTCAATATAATACACCCTATATACCCCCCCCCCCTAAATAGATATCGGGTAGTAGATTAGTGGTGAAGTATTATAACTTAAGTGGCAAATAAATATAAAATTAAATTTTCAAATTTTATAGAATTGCTGAAAATTTGAATAACTGACAACAGGCCCATTAACGCACATATTTGGATAATTTATTCTTTAAATTATTATGAACGACCATAATTTTCTTCTTTTTGTTTCTTCCGTATCACAAAAATAATGCAAAGTATTCAAATTTTATACTCTGTGATTTTTAAATTATACTATTAAATGTAATATTGCTTGAAACACGCACAGATACATTTAGCTATGTATTTATCAGGGAAAGGCTACAAAAAAATTTAGATAGGTAGATATCATATATTAATTTTAACCTATTAGAGTAGTGTAATAATTAGTATAATATAATAAAAAATATAAAATCAATATCTAACAGCTGAATAACATGGTCTTCATTTTTTAAAACTGAATTTATTCAATATAATACTTGATATTATAATAATTTTTCATGTAATAAACAATTAAATATTATTAACATGCTGTATTTCATTAGTATTGTGTAATTATATAAAGCAGGTATAAACTTATAAAATGTTTGAAGTTATCCATTTGCTTTTTTCACCTTCTGAGTTCATACAATCATTGTTTGATGCACATACTATGTTTTCACAAGCAGTTAGGCAAGCAGTTCTTAGTGTTGAAGGTTTTTACGTTATAATTTATATATTTTCTTAAATTTACATTTACTTTTCAATAACAACTCTTACTTATGTGATAAGAATTTGTAATGTTTGAATTATCGAGCAATCTAATAAACTATAGTTAAAATATTAAAATGTACTTTGTATAATATAGTTGTATGTATATTCGATCAACAAAAACTTGGTTTTCTCTCACTGTATACTAAATAGTACCTCTCTATTATTGGATATTATAAAGTATATATATTATTATGTAACTACGTATACAATATATAACAATAATGTGCGATTGACATTGAACAGTTTTGTGTCCAAACTTAATAACATTATGTAAAGATTCATTGATTAAATATTCAAATAGTCCCATTAGAATTTGATGAAGCTAGATAAAGTTAAAAGGGAGCTATCAATAAAAATGATGTAAAATACCTAGATATTATTGATTCAAACATATTTAAAATAAATATTAGTTAAAATCTCACCTTAAATAAAATTAAAATAAATTGAAATTTATTTAGTATAATAGAAATTAAACAGGTTCTTTACTAAAGAAGGTGAACTTAAAATAACCATCCAAAATCAAAACTATATAATATTATGACTTAAAGAAACTAATTTAAAAGGAAACTTCAATTTACATAAATTCTTATAAATGTATAACACATATGAAATAGTTTAAAGTACACAATCATAATAACCTAAAACATAGAAAAAAAACCTTTAGAAAAACAACAATCAATTATTTCCAAAAATAGGAATGGAAAAATCGAAGGAGATATTCAAATTGAAAATAAATCATTTAACTATTACAATAAAACTTAACTAATAAAAAAAAAAGGCAGAAAGAAAAGAAAAATTTTAGTAACAAAAAAAAAAAAAAACAGAAAAAAATTATCCAAGAACAATAAATTATTTTTGTGCGTTCAGCGTAAGCTCAAAAATAAAAATACCAGAAGTGTGGAATTAAACTTGGTATCTTTAAAAAGAACACCCTACCAATAGAAACAACGAAATAGTAATAAAAATCAATAAGTCAGTTTATTAGTGACAATATTATACACTATCAAAAATTCTTACATGATATTAAGTCTCCAGAAAATAATCGACTATGTATCACTTCTAATATTGACACCAATAACTTCGATCTGACTAACTACGTAATTCAATGAATATTATTATACAATTTACTATTATGCTACATGTGATTATCATAATATTAATAAATAATAATATACCTTGTAGAAATAGTGGTTAGATACACCTGATAGTTAAATTGCTTAATGTAGATCACTTGTTGGAAAAGGTTTACGACCCCAGGAGACTAGCAGATACTTTGAACAGGCTGAAACACGATTGAGCACAGTTTACCTTTCTCACAACCCGATTGAGTACAGAAATAATGTACACCGTTGCCGTTTTAATTATTTATGAAATAAAAATGTGGGGCAATTTTTTTTTAATTACTGAATACAATATAACCTTACGTTTTTCTTTAATTTATATTGTCGTTTTTTTTCCATAAAAATTACTAATAAAGTTTGAAAATGCCATAATATATAATATATATATATATATATATATATAATTATATATTATATATCATAAACAAATCACAAATTGTAAAGTGGTATCTCTAAATACTTACTTTCCACTTTTGATAAATATAATATTAGTAAATCTCCAGAATTGTTATTTCTTAAATATTGGTTGTAACTTGTAATCCATTATGGTTGCACTAATTTTTTGCCAAATTGTCATCATCGTTTCAGCCTGAGATTCTTGTAAACCATAATAACCAAGTGTATATGTGGGTGAGACTTGTAGAATTGTAAATTGTAAGTTCTGTTAAAACTTTCTACTACGTTTGCAGTTCTAGAAAAAAAATGAAATTTTATAGAAAAAATATGAAATACAGCCAAAAGTCGGTTCAAGCTCTCCGACTTTTGCTGCAACCTATATATAATAATTGGGTATGAGGTAATATACCTTCGATTAAACATAGGTTCTTTAGGCCATATATTTATAGGAATGGATATCCTCATCTATATAATTACTAAAAATTTAATCAGAAAATTCGAATCTGACACTATCATTAGACAGACATTCATAAGATCGAATAGTATCGGTGACTACCTACATGGCTAAGAAAAAAAGTCAACCAAAAAAAAACGTTTTATCCAATTTCCTAGTTAATCGTTTTCTATTTTATAGGCTATTCTGGGTATCACGTTTTATCTATAATAATTAATAATACAATTAATGTATAATTATTTAATTTGAAATAATTTTGTACTTACTTTTCGCCACCAGAATTGGCCTAAATTAAATCGGCAAGCTATGAATTGCACATTTTCAAAAACTTCATGTGCGCCTTGGTGAGCTGCCTTTTTAAAGTCAAAGTGTAATTTTTATCATAA